ATATAAGTAGATGGCTTACCAGTGTGTTAAATGAATGCAAACTTTATGGCATGTTTATTGCTTCGTAAGAAACAGGAGCCTGGTTAGGGTTAGCTGGTGTGGTGGAGTTCTCTCCCACTTAGGGTGTTGAGTCGACTCCGGAGGCTCAGTAACTACCAGTGGATGGTAGTAACTAAATCAGCTACTAAAATCAGTCTGCACCCACGAATATTTTATTATAAACTTACTTCCTGTGCTCATGTTCAAATAAATCCTTGGAAAGAATCCCTGAAAATATCATAACCTGACTGGAGAAAGTGGCAATCAACAACTGCACCCCAGAATAGAAGTATGACCTTTGATAAGTGGAACCGAGGCCTATACCTTTAGTTATAAGTAACCAGTGCACAACATAGATTAACGACTTATATACCATACACGAGGTATGCTTTTAGAAAAGAAAACAGATGAATGCTGGTTACTACCATGTAGCTTCTTGTAACTAAATCAGCTACTAAAATCAGTTGCACCACGAATATTTTAAACATAACTAATTTGGAAAAAAAATCATAACTAAGGCAAGTGGCCAATCAACAATCAAGAAAAGAGTCCCTTCACCATGGTTACCGTGCACATAAGCTTTCTCACATTTGCTTTGAAACTACCATTAGCTTCTCACAGTATCACTCTGAACCGGTTGATGTCGTCTTAAACAAGGCTGTCTGTGTGCTTTCAGCCTCTGGCTCCGTGTCCAAACTCCAAAGAGTCCATGGCCGTGTTTGAGCAGCACATCAGGATGGCTCAGGAGTATCTCAAAGTCCAGTCAGAGATCGCTCACCTTGTTCTGAGGAAGTAAGTCAAGTCACATATTGTATGTTATTATTTTCCTAGAACGCTACACTTATTTTCTGTATTAGTAGATATATGATTTAGTTAACCTTATTTGTATTGTGTTTTGGGGAACATTTTTGAATTCATCATGCTGTAACAACTACAAAACAAAACCACCATAGAACCAATAATGATTTTCCTTCATGTCCTTACCAGTTGGAATTTGTGATGGTCTTAAATAGTCTTCAGTTGAACCTGTTGAAACCTGCAGAATCCCTCTCTTAAGTGATCTGCGTACACAACATATTTTTTTTATGCAAGAGCATCTGGTAACCATAGTAACATATGAACATTGGTGCTGGGATTGTCCCCTGATCAGTTAAGAAGTGAGGAGTTAAAACAGAGGTGTGTTGTGTGTTTGATCAGTTGCTCATTAAAAACCGTGAGAGCGACAGAGTGACCACACAGTATCTGTTTGATCTGTCATTACTGAGGTCCAGTTCCAGTCTGGACTAACACATTTCATTATCACATTTCTTTTGGTGAGTTCTTTGTGACTCCAGAGAAGATAATAAACCACATTAGGTTCAGGAAAGTGCTGCTTAACCTAATAACAGATTCTGAAATACATGAGACATCTTCAAGGACGTCTCCTGCTGCTGGCTCCCCCCGTAATCCTAATTCTGCATTTAAAGGAACAGTTCGACATTTTTGGAAGTAGGCTTGTTTTTTTTCTTCTGAGGAGATGAGAAGATTGAAAACAATCTCATGTCTGTGTGTTAAAGCTGCAGTAGGTCATTTTTATAAAACTATTTTTTTTTGGTCATATTTGCTGAAACACTGAAATACATGAGACATATAATTGAAACCAAACAATCAGAGCCAAGAAAGATAGTTGATTGTTAAGTCTCATTCCCAGGGCATCAAATACAGATGCTTTAGGACCCTGGGAATGAGACTCAACAATCAACTATCTTTAAGCCTTCAACCCAAAGTGTCTTTCTATGTTTCTTGGCTCTGATTGGTTGTTTTTGTTCAGGCCCGGTGGATTCTTGCAAATGGTAAATGGACCTGTACTTGTATAGCGCCTTTCTA